TTACAAATGCTTTGGACACAGTGATCATCCTGCCAAACGTGAATGCATGTTTGAACTCTCCTGCTGGAGTGTTAGGTGGTGAGCAAGGACTATGTATTTTGCTTTGATTTTCAATATATGTCTCTATTTCTCACCTTATCTATCACTGACCTTTACAGACTGTGGAAGTTCAATGAATACTTATGAATCAACAGATTTTACATTGTCTTTAATTTAATATCAAACCAAATCCAAAAAAGCAAGAAAACCTTAAACTCTAAAAGTAAGGCAAGGCCCATCGCCACCATCATTTCTCTTGCTTCTCCTCCTTCCTCTGCTTGTCAGCAGGCCAGACACTCACGGGAGCTCTGGATGTCACTGGCTCCTCACACCAATCTCAAGAACTCAGTTCTGCTGTCACCACTTTACTAGTGAAGAGCACGAGCCTGGCCTGCATGTCCCCTCATTCCTTGCACACTGGCTGAGTGAGCAGGCTTTCCCCCGAGGCTCGATTCCACAGTCTAAGGGAAAGCCTTAGGTTTTCCTCAGGAAAGCAAAATGATGTTAGAGGTGTAGTTTCTTTTTTTATTTAATACCACTATGTGCCAGGCACTATCTGTGGCTTTGATTTAAAATTAACAATCAAATGCATCAAAGAAAAATTATATTTATTGCTATATCCATTTTTCCTTAAACAACAATCTTTAAATTAGTAAACATTAGAAGGAATTTTTAAAAGTACAGTCATGAAACACTTAACAACCAGGCATACCTTCTGAGAAACGTGCTGTTCAGCAATTTCATTGTATGAACATCATAGAATGTACTTACACAAACCTAGATGGTAGAGCTTACTATACACTAATGCCATATGGTATAGCCTATCAGTCCTAGGCTACACGCCTGTGCAGCAGGTTCCTGTACTTAATGCTGTAGGCGGCTATAACAAAATGCTAAGTATCTGTGTATCTAAACACAGATGAAGGACAGTAAAAATATGGTATGCCTAGGGCATTACTGTATACTACCGTAGACTTTATAAACACTGTATGCACAATTGGGCTAAACTAAATTTATAAAAATTTTTCTTACTTTAATAGTAAATTAAATTTAGCTTACTGTAACTTTCTTACTTTAAAAACTTTTTAATATTTTAACTTTTGACTCATATAATATTTAGTTTAAAACATACTGTACAGCTGTACAAAAATATTTTCTTTCTTTATATCCTTATTCTTTAAGATTTTTCTAATTTTATTTTTTTTCTTTTTTTTTAATTCTCTTAAACTTTTTTGTTAAAAACGAAGACACAAACATGCCTGTTAGCCTAGGCCTACACAGGGTCAGGATCATCAGTATCACTGTCTCCCACCTCCACATCTGTCCCAACTAGGTCTTCAGGAGCAATAACACGCAGGGAGCTGTCATCTCCTAGGACGACAATACCTTCTTCTGGAATACCTTCTGAAGGACCTGCCTGAAGCTGTTTTACGGTTAACTTTTTTTTTTTTTATTAAATAGGAGTGCACTCTAAAATAACAATGAAAAGCATACTATAGTAAATACATAAACCAGTAACATAGTCATTCATCGTCATTACCAAGTAGTATGTATGGCACGTAATTGTATGTGCCAGACTTTTATTTGACTGGCAGTGCAATAGGTCTGTTTATACCAACATCACCACAAACAGGTGAGTAATGTGTTGCACTACAACATTAAGACCCCATAAGGTCACTTGGCAGTAGGATTTTTCAGCTCCATTACAATCTTAATGGGACCACCGACATATATGCGGTCTTTCATTGACCAAAATGCATTTATGCAGCGCATGACTGTATAATCTAAAGATTTTACACACAAACACAAATAAAACCCCTAAGAATAATTCACTGACTCAAAGAAACACTCTAGAGTTGTAGCACAAGCTGATTAGTGATCAGACTTACTAAATTTTACCAATTTGGACACCTGTTGTACAATTTGTAACAAAAAAATAATGTAAAATGACACCAAACCCTAAGGGTTTATTTATCATGTTTTTTAATCACCTGATTACCCAATACTCTGAGGGCTGGAAAACTTAGTAACCTCTGTGTTTCTCAGCAGAAAGTAACTCTAATTTTAAAACCAGGCAAATCCTAAAAAGGCTCTTCCATGCATAATCATCCCAAAGTATTACTCTAGGGCACCGTTCCAGGTGTCCAGCTATGTGAGCCACTGTGAGGACACACATGCCTATGGGAACCGTCTGCACTAAGCTCACCACAGTGACCTGGTGGCATCTATTTCACTGCTGGGCTGTTCAGGAAGTCTCAGAGGCAGGGGACAGGAAGGCCCAAGTGCCAAGGCCAGCAAGGCCAAGAGTGGCATGGAACGGTAACAAACTGGCAGCACCTGATGTTTATGTGGCCTTCACCAATGTTATGTGCACTACGTCAGAGATGTAGGCCTCCTGAGACCCTGGGATAAGACTCTTCTTTTTTTTTTTTTTTGAGACAGAGTCTCACTGTGCTGCCCGGGCTAGAGTGCTGTGGCGTCATCGTAGCTCACAGCAACCTCAAACTCCTGGGCTCAAGCCATCCTCCTGCCTCAGCCTCCCGAGTAGCTGGGACTACAGGCATGCGCCACCATGCCCGGCTAATTTTTTCTATATATTTTTAGTTGTCCAATTAATTTCTTTCTAATTTTAGTACAGACGGAGTCTCGCTCTTGCTCAGGCTGGTTTCGAACTCCTGAGCTCAAACAATCCGCCCGCCTCAGCCTCCCAGAGAGCTAGGATTACAGACGTGAGCCACTGCGCCCAGCCTAAGGCTCTTCTTAATAAGCAAAAATAAATTTTATTGGGGGTGCTTTACTAGATTAGTTTCCGAACGCAGCTAACAACTTTCATTTGGACATGCAGGTTGTTCTATTTTCAAACAACACAGAAAGTTCTACTGTGAGTCAACCAATAAATATTCTAAATTTCAACCTAAAAATATACTGTATGATATGCTACCAAGAGAAAAGAACTTAAAACACAAAACTTTGCCCCATATGGAAATTTTATATAAAATACGGCTACTTTTTAAAACTAAATGAACAGCTGTCAATGGTTTCAAGGATTTTCTTTACTTTGTGTTTCGAAACTTGAATAAAACCTAAACTATGAGATTTATAATTTTTATTTGTTCTAAAGTCCACAAGATTCTAAATTAAGTCAAAGAAGAAACTCACAGGAAAAATACTATTTACTCTGAAAACTTCGCCAATTTTTAAGGTACACTAGGAGAAACAGACTTGGGCTTTGAGCACAATTTCTAGCTTTATGCTACTGATTCTGATAAGATGCTCTTTTAAATTAAATTCTCTTCTCAAAATTTAAAAATTCCTAAACCAAGTGTTAGGCAATAATCATCTGCATTTTACAAAAGATTAACAATACCAGCCTGAGCAAGAGCGAGACCTTGTCTCTACTAAAAAAAAATAGAAAGAAATGATCTGGACAACTAAAAATATATACAGAGAGAAAAAATTAGCCGGGCATGGTGGCGCAAGCCTGTAGTCCCAGCTACTCGGGAGGCCGAGGAAGAAGTTTGCTTGAGCCCAGGAGTTTGAGGTTGCTGTGAGCTAGGCTGACGCCACGGCACTCACTCTAGCCCGGGCAACAAAGCGAGACTCTGTCTCAAAAAAAAAAAAAAAAAACATTAACAATACAAATTATGCTAGATAGTAACCTGTTATAAAAGACTCAGGAAACTACATATAGGATTTCTCCATTATAAAATCCTTGTATTTTGAAGTTTCACATAAGGGATCTGCCTTGGGTCTTAAGAAACCTATAACCTTATGGGTCTAAAGAAAAAAAAAACCACTTTATCAGAATGATTTGTTCACTATTGCAGGGCAAACAAGATATAGATGTGTAAAAAAAAAAAAAAAAGGTTAATAATTCTCCTTCTTCCCCACTTTGAAGTAATGTTGAGAGTTTGATAGGTACAGTACTTTTCCATGCCTATTCATACACAAGCCTCTAGAAATATGACCAGGTGTGTTATTTAAAAAAAAAATGGGTCATACTATAAATATATTATTATACAATCTGCTTTTTAAAAAAACATAATACTTTACAGACATCTTTCAAGACATACAGGTGTCCCTTTTTAGGTCTTTGGATTCTTAAGAATTATATGATTTACTTAAAGTCAATTAAAGAGATACTGCCTGGTTTCCCCAGAGACCTAAGAAATAATTTTAAACATGAATCGGAGCTCAAAAGCCTAGAGGAAAATAAGCAGAAATCTCCCATTGAGTTCACAGAACAAAACTATTATTTGGGCTAGGACTCAAAGCCCTTTGTTGTTTTAATTATGAAAATCAGTATCAATGATCTGAACAAAATAGAACTGTGGCCATTCAGGTGGACTCTGAAAAGTTATGACAGAAATGTGTAACATGGATCACTGTGCAGCTCACACACGATCCCTGACCCTTGCACAGGGGCAGGCCTCTTCAGCTGGGATCCCACAACATCTCTGCTTTAGAGAAGGCAACTTGAGCCACCTCTTTAGCTGGCCAAAAACCAATGCTATGACCTTGCACAAAATGAGGCTGTTGGCCACTCAGATTCTTTCTCTCTTCCTCTCTCAGGAATGTGAACTGAGATACACCATGAAACCCCGCAGGAAAAATCAGAAGCCCAAGGCTGACAGGAAAAGAATGCAACAAGTGAGCTATAGATTGATACTGTTTACTCTCCACTCTGAGACAAGGACAATTTTTTACATTCTTTGAAATTCTGGAAATAATTTCCAGATCTTAGGCTGTATTAAGACATTTTATTCCCTGGTATTGGTTTCAATGAAGCCCAACTCAACCCTTATTCAGACACTGGGAAGAGCAGGGGTAGCTTCTCCTTGCGTAAGCCAGGAATTCACTCTGAGGCTTGTCCTCCCTGAGGTTTCCAGAGATCCTTTCACATCTGGACAGCCTCTGTGGACTGCCACGCCAACGATGTGTGAGGCGTGCCTGTGACCCACCTGTGCAGGAAGTGCAGCTTGTGCATGGCGGCCAGCCCCGCGGCGATCTCACACGCCATCCTCTGCAGCAGCATGGTCTGCGCGTCTCCCCGCATGTGCCCCTGCTCCGTGCGCAGATACGCTTTCAGATCACCCTGCAAAGATGGGCCCGCTTGAGTTTCAAAATGAACCGCAGAAACAAACTGAGTACTTAAACATGTGCCTTAGCTGACACTACCTACACGAAGATCACTTATTAAAAATCACTTCAGTTTGCACCTAATAAAGAACCTCAGACTGAACAAGTTTCAAATTACAAAAAGGAACTCTAACCCAACGTTTCGAAAGCATGGAACACTATTATGTTTTTAGGGCCAGTCTAACTAGATTAAACATTAATTTATTTTTGTTATATAAACACATGTAAAACAAAACCATAAAAAAAAGATGTACAATTTAAACTAAGTACAATGCAAAAGGAGAGATTCTTAGGCAACTAAGATAACATGGAGAGAGAAAGAAACAGTGGCACGCACACTGCCTGTTTGAAGGATTCCAGGAGACACCTGGGCAGTGGGCACGTTGTCACCAAGGCTACGTGGCTACCACCAAAGATCTGATGAGCAATGGATGGGGAGAGAAGGAAAGAAAAATAGGTGGGAAGGGAGGGGAGAGAGTCCAGCCAGTGCTAGTAACAACTGCTTCAGGGCTCTCCAGACTTCCCGAGGGCCCTGTGCTGCCCAGAGACCATGGTGAGAAAGACCATTCCAGTCACTCCAGAAAAACTAACCAAGTTAATAAGGCTGTTCTTCAAAGGAGAGCAGCCTGAGCAGGAAAATGAACCAACTCACATTCAGGCGTCCAGTACACAGACATGCGAATGCTGGGCTCCCGGGTTCTCCTGCAAGTCCTCCCTGTGTCACCTTGTCTTTATTTGACAACTCTAATTTGGAACTGTATGTTTTGGGTGGGTGGGGGGGTGTTACAGTATATCCATTTTGGGGAATACAGTTTTGAAGAAATTCTCCATATTCTCCTTACACGATTAAATAGTTGTTGATATGATGTAATTCCAAATTAAAGCTTTCTATAATCAGTTAATAAAATTTAGAAAGTAAGCCCATAGCTTTCAGTGTTCTTTAAATCTCAATCAAGAAAGAACTCCCAAGGAAGGAAATTTTCCTTAACCAACTAAAGAATACATTTATTATAACTTGCAAAAGATGGCAAATTTATCAAATTCCTCCCAGAGTAAAACTTTAAAACACAATATTATTTTATAAACATTTGTCCACATTTAATACTAAGCACTTACAGGTCCACTCCAAGATTCTCGATTTGTTTCCATTCCCAGTTTCAATGATGCTTACTTACTGAATGTTAATGTTGATATTAATATTCACTACCATTTGAGCTCTTGAGCACTGTGCCAAGCATTTACCCTTGTTAATGCAAATACCTGTCACAATTTGAGGTGTTTTCCACATATGAAACTGAGGCTTAGGGAAGGAGTTTAAGAGATTTTCCCAAGGCCACAGAGCTAATAAAGAATAGGGCTGTGCTTCTACTTTTTGGTTTACCAACTAGTCAAGAGAATTCTATTTAGCAAGTGAATTAAATTAGTATGCAGATGAAATCAATTTGCTTTATAAGAATGAATATAAAATAATGTAAGCTCAATGCCATCGATTTGCAGAATTCTCCCAAGTGTCATGTGATTGCTCTGCCAGGGACACAGCAGCCTCCCCTTGGTGCCACCATGCACACTGAGGTGGCACTTGGCATAACTGTCCTTCACAGATTTCCTTCCAAATGTGGCACTCTCTTCTTTTGTTCCCAGTGGAATTAAAGCTCCTCCAGAAGAGAAATATTCATCTTTTTTTTTTTTTTTGCTTCTAAAAACATATGCTCATTGGTCCAGGCTAGGCTCTATCCAGCATGGGAGCTGTGGGAACGATGAATGATTTAGAAGACAGTTAAATTAACCCAGAAAAATTCCAGCAAAAAACTCCAGGACTATAGGCTAATGGGATTTTTATTCATAAGGTAGCCCACACAGAAATTAAACATGAAAAAAACTGAAGTCTTCTGGCATCACCAATGCAACGGCAACTTACACTCTTCTGCCTAACCCCTCTGCTGCAACATCTAAGGAAAAAATTACTCTCACACAAAAGCATGATTATCTTGCGCTGTATCTGGCTAATTCTCAAAAGTGACTGTGGCCATGGAGGCAGAGGGATAGCAGAGTGGGTGCAGTTACTTTTCAAGGTTATCTGAAGTCATCCATAACCACCCACTGTTCTTCAAATGGCTTCTCTCTGCAACAGCCCCCCTCCCCAAATTTCACTGCGAGAAAGAATAAAGAGAAGAAGATCTTACTTAAGAATTGACATTGTCAGCACAATCCAGGCAAAAATATCTTTAACCTGGAATAAGGAGTCAACATCAGAGATTACTGAGGATCCCGATCATGGTTTCTCATGGATGAGGCTTGTGATAGACCATGTAGGATCCAGGGTTAGTTCTATGTTCTAGAATGGTCCTTACAGCTCTCCTGGTATCACCGTTTGAAAAGAAAAAGCAGCATAAAATCTTTAATCACAGAAAAGATTTTTACATTAAACAAGTGCCAAAACTGGTTCATTCTATCAAAAACAGACAAATCTATATTTAGTCTCAAAGACAAATCTACATTTTAGATATCTGGTTTATTTGTATTTAAATGGTATTTAATGACGAGTAGACATGGATTGTTACTTTGGTCCACCATATAAAGAAAAAAACCTCACCAAGAACAGCAATTTTTTCTGAATTAAAATAAACTTTGCTTTATCCAAGTTTTAAAAATTTCTCTGCTCTTTCCCACCCCCCCAAAAAAAACTCCAAAAGAAAAATTTCTGACACTAGATGGCAGCAAAGTGCTACACTAAGAACTCCCACAACAGAACAAGCAACTTGCGATGACTTCTTAGAATGAGTCATTCAAAGATCTGTAAATGTGTTACTCATAAGCGCTCTCCTAATTTCTAATATAAAAGGCCAGGCGTGCTTTATCCAGTTTTTTGCAGGACCCCAAGAGCAATGAATTAATTTCATTATAATGTAAAAAGTCAACAAGCAGCTTTATAACTGAAAAATTATAGTCATTTATGTTTAATAGGATGATTCTAGGAAAAATTTATGATTTTTCAACAAAAATTAATGAAATTAAAGCTGTTTCACAGCTAATTAATCATGACGCAGTACCACACTCCCCCTCCTGTTGATGAATGTGCCATGCCTCCATCCAACCCAAGGCTATGTCTCCCCCACCCCTGCCCCAGAAGTTCTCAGCCTATTTCTTCTCCACTTGGGCCTATCTCCTTGTTATGCTGGTGAGATGTAACCCACCATGGTTGGAAGGAGGGATCTAGTCATGGGTTGGTGGCCCTGGTGGGAGCAGCTGCAGCCAAGTGGTGGATGAAAGTGTGTCTGGAGTGTTCTGAGGGTGGGGGGAGGCCAAGAGGTGGAGCCAGCCAGAACAGACCAGGCTTCTGAGGAGTTTATCCATGAAGGGAAGAGACATGGGATGGTAACAGGAGAGGGCTGTGGAGTCATAGGAAGGCTTGTCGGATTTACCTGGAAGGTATTTGAGTGTTAGAGTAGAAAGAAGAGATGGACTCACGAGGAGACTGAGCTTACAACGGTGAAGAATCTGGGTAACCAAAGAGGAGGTGATGTGTAGGGGTTACAGATCCAGGTGGGTGAGAGCCCAAGTGGAGATCCCTAGAGTGCACTTACACAAACCTAGATGCTCCGGCCCACCACATGCCTGGGCTGGCTGGTAAAGCCTATGGCTCCCAGGCTACAACCCGGACAGCATATTACTGTGCTGAATATTGTGGGCAATCCTAACACAGTGGCAAGTATTTGTGTATCCAAACATAACTAAACACAGAAAGGGGACAGTAAAAATGCAGTATAAAAGATAAAAAATGGCACAGGTGTACCCATCTGGGGCACTTACCATGAATGGAGCACGGGAAGTGCTCTGGCGCGTCAGTGAGTGGTGAATGTGAAGGCCGAGAACAGGACTGAACACTACTGTAAACTTTATTATAAACACTGTATACTTAGGCTACCCAAATTTATAAAAAATACTTTTCTTTCTTCAATAACAAATTAACCTACCTTACTGTAACTTTTTTACTTTATAAACTTTTTAATTTTTTAACTTTTTGGCTCTTTTGTAATAACACTTAGCTTAAAACACACACTGTACAGCTGTATTGAAATACTTGATATCCTTATTCTCTAAGCTATTCTCTATTTTTAAATTTTTTTTTAACTTTTTGTTTAAACACTTTTGTTAAAAACTAAGACACAAACACACACGTTAGCCTAGGCCTACACAGGGTCAGGATCATTGATATCTCTCTTCCAGCTCCACATCTGCCCACTGGAAGGTCTTCGGGGCAGTAACATGCATGGAGCTGTCACCTCCTATGACTACAGTGCATTCCTTCAGAAATACCCCCGAAGGACCTGCCTGAGGTTGTTTTACATTTAATTTTTTTTTAATAAGTAGAAGGAGTACATGCTAAAGTAATGATAAAAAGTATAGTATCCTAAATACATAAGTAACTTACTCATTATCATTATCAATTATTATGTACTATATATAATTGTATGTGCCATCTAGAGTTTTATATGACTGGCAATGCAGGTTTGTTTACACCAGCATCACCACAAACGTGAAACACGTTGCGCGCTACAGATGTTGTTAGGCAACAGGAATTTTTCAGCTGCATTATAATCTTATGGGACCACCACCATATGTGTAGTCTATGGTGGAACAAAACACGGTTAGGTGGTGCATGACTGTATAACCACCTGGACCTCAGAAGGCATTTCTC